CACCGCGATGCTCGGACAATGGTCAACGGCGGGAATATACGAATGAGTGAACCCGAAGCATACACGTATTATAATCATAAAGCGTTGTCATGTTTTCGATAAGTAATCGGATAGCTGTATTTATTTTCGTTTTTTTTTGTTTTTCGTTTATTTCGCGACACGTTAAAGACGTTGTATATCCACCAGTATACAGTGATAAAAAAAAAAAAAAATGAATGATGACAAACGACGTGGACGTTAATTAAGTGCCCGTTTGACGTAATTTTAGTATAGGAATCTATTGTTTGTTATTTTTTTTTTTTTTTTTTTATCCATTAGCCCAAGTAAATTTAAGATGATTAATTTTCAAACGTTTTACATAGTAAGTGCTTGGTCGTATTAGAAAATTGACACCAAACGCGACGGTCAAAGTTCGCTCGTCTCTGTGTAACACATATCAAAGATCAATTGGTACTTTTACGGTATTCATTAAACAGGTTCAGTGCGGATCAAATGGATTTTTCGTAAATGATTTCGTAACCACGCACTATTATAACTAACCTAACCTAACCAATCTCACACGGTACTATAAACACGTACGAGATCCCTGGCGAATAACATTCAAATTGAATATGTGCATACAGCTCGTTATGATATAACTTGATAAAATACTGTGGTAACCTTAACTATTCTTGTACAGAACACCGTTTAAAAAATGAATGTACAAAGTTTTATAAACAGACACGGCATATGGTAACCGTTAATTTTTTGAAAGGTGCGGATTTTTATAAAAAAAAAAATTAACTAAATAATTATAAATTCCTATCTTTGCCACCTCCCCTTCCCCACCAAATCGTTGAGTGAATAAGGTACGTATTGAGATATAACATTAACGAGACCCGTACACGTTATAGTATTTGTACGCGGTACACGATATTGTTGTTCCATAGTCGGTGCGCAACTTCAATGAACCAGGCGCGCGGATTTATGGGTCGGCCAAGCTGTATTATCGTTGTCACCTTGAACCCGTCATACGTCCAACTTCCTAGTTTCAGTACGCAAGTTTGGACATCATAGGGGAAGAACTCGACGTCGATGGAGCACGAGGACTTATAGACGGCGGGTGGCTGCCATAATACAAGCCCTGTGCTGTAAACGGTCGCCTTTGTCATTAGGGTCACCTCGTAGTTACCGTCCGCACTGGAACAACACATGGAACAACGTCATCGGGGTCTACTGCTACAACTACTACGACTACTATTACTACCATTACTACTACCATTACTGCTAATACATTATACATGGATCATAGTATGTGTGTATTTAAATGTTGTATAAATACGTCATAGGTGTTTCAGTGACGCGAAACGCTCGAGAATAATAGAAGCAAGTTGTGACGGGTAAATCTGGTGCAAAAGTGTATTACAATTGTCTGTGACGTGTACGTGTCACGTGTCGCTCTTATGATCTCAGCGCGTCCGATAGATGATACATTTTAATGAAATTATTGAATTCGGTTTTACTTCGTCACCGATATCGTCTGTATGTATAGGATGGTACGAACTATTATTTTCGATCATTCGACGACGCGATCGTAAACTTATTTAACTACTTCCAACAGGATTTTAGGAAATTAATCGAAAAAAAATAACGTCGAATAAAAATCGATAAAATTCTGAAAAATTACAGAAGATTAATAATCAAACCTGTTTTAAAATATATACATATATTTTTTGTAAATTAAACGGTGAAAATCATACCTGAAAATCGTCGTTTTAAAGAAAACATTTTTTTTTTTTTGCTTTTTAGCTGTAGCATTACACAAAAATAAAAAATAACGTTTGAAATTTAAAATTTTTAATAAAATCAGTGTCGAAAAACCCCGAATTCAAAAATTATTTCATTAACCGCATTGTTATGAATGCGTAAGAAAGATTCAGTTCTCATTTAACACATACTGTGTACGTTTTATAAACTCTGTCCGTACGCTTTGAGAAACGCGAAAATTATTGGCAACCTGATTTAATCAGTTTGGGATTTTTATTTCTTTCTTTTTTTTTTTTTGTGTGTTATTTGGAACGTGCCACATATGTTGAAATACTACAAGACTAGCGTGTTTGATAAAAAGTTAAATTCAAAAATTTTTTTTTCACGACTCGATGTTTGATTGAAAATATGACGAACAAAAAAAAAAAAAAAATAAAATAATATCAGTATCGGAAAAAATATCTCGTCTAAGGAAATATCTAATGATCATACGAGAACAATCAAAGAATTCGGGAAAGACGAATTTCGCAAAAGTATTCATTTTATGACGAGAGGTTTCTCTTGTTCGGCATATTATATACAATAGTTTGCGCACACGGAATGTATCATAAATCGATATTACAGCATGACGGATGAATAAATATGAAATAAAAAATACGTGGTGTATTTCGAAAAATCGACACAAAAAAAAAATAAATAAAACAGTAGGTAGCTATTACGTAATTATATTATAGTCTTCGATTGTGAGGGGATTTATCGAATCATATTTTGAATTTATAAATAACCATGGTGCAGACGCTGCCGTCGTTCCGTGAGAAATGGAAGACTTTATTTTTTTAATTCAACATATAAACAAATAAATGTGAGCCCGGAATTGGCGACCAAAGTAATTTTTATTTCCAAAGTTTATTTTTTATACGACATTGTGTTCTCGTTATACGGGCGACATTTTACACGAAAGCGCCTGCTTCTATTTTGATGTAACGGGAATAATACATTTGAAAGGGTTTTGATAACATTAATTTTTCAAATTAAGATAAGCTCTGTTTAACGTATTGCAGTTTTAGGTTTATTCCCGAGTGGTTTTCTTCACCGATAAAAAAAAAAAAGGAAACACGAAATAAATAATTTTATCTAGTTATATATAACTTAAATAAATAAACAAACAACACATAAATGAGAAGATATGATCAACAATCATACAAGCAAACGTGAACTGTTAAAGAAGTTTGAAATAATTGTTGGTCCAAAACTGACTTGTGCTGTAATTCATACATCTATTTATTTATTCATACGCATTTAAAAAAAAATTTAATTAATTTTCAGCTGTGAAATGTTAGTTTCCATTTTCAGCGTGAACGCACAAAAGAGTACTATATAGAATAGATACATTGTAATCAACATCGAGAGAATTTAATTTATTATCGAAATAAAACGTTTGTGTACTGATAGGTTAACTTTTGTCGAACATAAATTAAGAGAAACAGAAAAGTATCGATGTTTAAGTCGTTATGCCTTTTAATCATTATTTAGAAATTGCGGGTATTCGTTCAAAGAAATAAAACGCCCCTTAAATATGCTAAGCTCACTGTTTAATGAAAAATGCTTGTTGTACTTGAGACTGGATTAAATTGTTTTTTTTTTCAATTCTAGTCGTTTCTTTTTGTCGTACTCCCGGCTTAAAGAATGCCAATAATTCCCGGTATCACAATCATAATACGCAACGAAGCCCCAACGAAGCGATGTTCTCCAGCGTTTCGCGCAGATAATTGGAAATTTTTACACTTATTATTACACATACTCACACGTACGCACACACAAACACACACACACACACACACACACACACACACACACACACACACACACACACACACACACACACACACACACACACACACACACACACACACACACACACACACACACAC